TATTGCTATCATTAGCATCATTTTTATGGTTATGATTTTTTTAGCATTATCATTTCTATAATTTTTATCGTTCTTGTTGTTTTTCATGTTATTGGTCTCCTTGTTATCACAAAAACATCATTATTATGATTATAATTTTTTACATGACTGTTATCATTAGTATCAATACAATAATAATGATAATAATAATAATAATAATAAATAATATTTTATTATTATTATTATTATTATTATCATTATTATTATTATCATTATTGTTATCATTATTATCATAATTGTTATTATAATCGTTATATTTTATATTAATAATAATAATAATATTATTATTATTATTATATTTAATAATTATTATTATTATTATTATTGTTATTATTATATTATCATTATTATTTATTATTATCATTATTATTATTATTTATTATTATATTATTATTATATTATTATTATTATTATTCATTATTATTATTATATTATTATTATTTTTTATTATTATTATTATTTATTATTATTATTATTGTTATTATCATTATCATCATCATCATTATTCCTAACATCATTATTACCTTTATTGCCGTTATTATGATGATTATTATTACTGCAATATGATCTGGATAATGATAATTTTGAGAATGGCAATCATGATGATAATAATAAAAAACAATGGTAATGACGATAATGATAACAATAACAATAGTAAGAGTGAAAATGATGATGATAATAATAATAATAATAATAATAATAATAATAATAATAATAATAATATATAATAAATAATGATAATGATAATGATAATGATAATATAATAATATAATAATAATAAGATAATAATAAATGAAAATGATGATAATGATAAAGATAATAAAAATAATAATAACGAAATAACAATATAATAATAATAAATAATAATAATAATAATAATAATAATAATAATAATAATAATAATAATAAGAATAGAAGAAGAACAACACCACCAACAAAAACAACACCAACAATAATAACAATAATAGTATTAATGATAATAGTAACTAGAAGCACTCACAAAGTGCATACCTCTACCAAGGCAATAAAGACACTAATGCAATAAAAAAATTAACATCTGAAGAATCACATTTTTTCTCAAGTACGCTAGTACGTCTATGTTTCCATATCTCGCTGTGCTAATGAGTAAAAAAAAAACTATATTCGAAACATGATCCGGATTACCACCAAAATTTTATGAAATCTATGACGGGCTATGAGACACAGATCTGTTCATAATTTCTGAATTTATTCTGTGTAGGATCCTGATCCTGATCCTGAGCACCACCAAAATTAGATGGCGGCTAATTTGGGCAAAGACACGCCTTGGGTAGAATCTTTTCATATCTTTTTGAGTAATCCTGATAATAAACGGACAAACAAACTAACCAACGCCACAAGCATAACACCTTCGGCGGAGGCTATAATGGAACAACAATAATAATAACAACAATCATATTCATAATAATGATAGTAATGCTAATGCTGATAACAATAATAATGGTGATGGTCATTATTATCATTGTTATTACCATTATCAATCTTTTTCCTATATCATTATCTTTATTATTTCTTTCATTGTTGATGAAATTATTTTTATTACTATCATTAACATTATTATCATTATTGTTATTACTATCCTTAACATTATCATCGTCATTGCTATTTTTCTTAATATTATAATAATAATTATTATTATAATTGTTATTATCATTATCACTATTATTATTGTTATTGTTGTTATTATTATTGTTATTGTTGTTGTTGTTGTTTTTGTTGCTTTTATTATTATTAGTAGTAGTAGTAATAGTAGTGGTAGTAGTAGTATCATTATTATTAATATTATTATTATCACCATCATCATCAACATCAATATTTTTTTTTTATTACCATTATTACACTTATTATTATTATGATTGTTGTTATTGTTATTGTTATCATTATTATTATCATTGACATTATAATTACCATTATCATCATTATTGTCAGCATAATTATTATTATGATAATAATGATTATTATTGTTATGAATATCATTTTTATCATGATTATTATAACTATTATTTTTCATTATTATTATTATTATTATTATTATTATTATTATTATTATTATTATTATTATTATCATTATTGTTGTTGTTGTTGTTGTTTATTATCATCATTCTTATTGTTATAATAATCATAATCATCATCATCCTCATATTTATCTACATCATCATTACCATTATTATTATTAATGTTGTTATTACTATGATTATTTATATATTTTTTTAATTCTTATTCTTCGTATTAATGTTATCATTATCATTATCATTACTATTGTAATTATTGTTATCATCAATGTCTATTATCAAAATTGTTGTTGTTGTTTCATTGTAGTTGCATTTTTATAATTATTAATATTATTGTTATTATCATTATGGTTATTATTAAAATTATCATTATTGATATTGTTATCATTACTGTTTTTTACTATTATTGT